CCTCGCATCGCTGGCTCCACCCCTTCAGATCGTATCATATTCCATGCCCAAGTTGCACAGATCACACCAAACCAGGACACTTTACGGTTTACCTGTAGCTTTGTGTGTTTGTCTCATTTTCCCTCAACATGTGTTGTGAATGGGTTTTTTTTAAGGGGTAAACAAGGGGGCCTCAATCCTGGCCAAAATAGCGCACAAGACACTTGCAAATGGTGGATAGACATAGGACCAACCTCGGCTATGTTGATAGTAAAAGTGTTAGTCGCAAGCATGTGGGCGATAATGTTCTTGCAAAGAGAGAAAGGGTTGGGAGCCCCAGCGGCCCGGGTTAATGGCGATTTAAGAGGTGAAGTGAGCAATGAAATACCATTCCACTCGACTTGGGCGACCGGCACAGTTTGTACCTTCGAGAGGCATGCGGGAGGCAGCCTTATCGTGCTCCTTTGCTCACAAAACATGTACTTATCACCCACCCATCGGGGGGGGTGGATCAGCCAGTGTGGCCGAAATGCTGCCTACCGGAACATGTATAAGCAGGCAACTACAAAGCCTATTCGCTCTATAACAAAAGCCGCTCAAGAAAGCCTCATTTTACGCTACAAGACATGAGCACGCGAGTGAGAAAGCCGTTAAAGAGTACTCACCCCCAGACAAGGGAGGTCGGGGTAGTCACTGCATAGCAAGAGGGTGGGATAAAAGGAGTGTGGGGGAGAGAGGACCAGAAGGCGAAATTTATTGCTGTCTTGTGTTCTCATGACGAGGAGGGAAAGCGCGACCTGACTCCAACTTTAGATTATTTCTTTTGAGTATGAGAGTCATACCGGAGCAGTATTAATTGACAAGTACTTCTGCCTCACGCGCCAACAAAGAAGGCTAGACACGTACTACTATCAATACTACTGCTAGTATGATATAATTATTTTATGAATTGAAAGAAATTCACTGAAAATAATTACGGCCTTTGCTTGCAGATTAGAATGCCAATGTGGCCTCCTACCTGCTAAAGGCCTCACCCCATACAAAATAGCAACCGTCATAATCGAGATGAATGCCGGGGGGCAGTAAGGAAGTGGGGCAAGGGGCACGGAGGTGCTTGTTCGAACCTGTTGATTTTTCCCAATCATTTGAGGCTCTCGCCTTGACCAAGTTGTTCTCACACCCCATCCCAGTCATCCGTCCGCAGAGTCCGGGGAGTTGACTTAATTTTTGCGCCTCACCGACCTCCTCCAACCGGCGCTCTACTGCCGGCGGAGCTGGAGGCGACTCCCAGTCGGCCGACCGACCTGGAATTTGGTGGGCATGAGAAAGACATCGACAAGGGCAAATTGGCCTTTCTGGATTTTATCGAGAAAGGTTGGGCAAGCGCCGATAGACGAACAGAGGAGCTGGTCAGGAAAGGTGCGTATGTGGTGTGCACTCGCATATTAACTTGCCCGTCTGTCTCTATAAACATAAGTATGTGTGTATGTAAATGTATGAATGTATAAATGTAATTATGTATGAATGTATGCAAATGTATGTATTTATGTATGAATGTGTGTATGTATGTATGTGTGTGTATATTGAAGCGCATATGGGCGTGAACGTGTGTGAACGAATGTGAATGTGTGAATGAGGGTGTGAGTATGTGTGAATGCGTGCGAACGAGTGTACAGGTGCGAGAGGAGAGTGGGAGTAGATGAATTGACGAGGGGATTTATAATGGTGCGAACCTGAGGTCTGTGTGCCTGTGAATGGATGCCAGAGTTGGGGGATGGAAGCGAAATTACAAGAGGGGTCCGGTGCAATAGGCTAGGCTGGGGAAGGTAAGTATTGCAAAGTGTTGGTCCAAACGGGTCTTGACGGCCGGCTCAATAATGACTTTGATATGTGTCACTTTGACGAATGATAATGTTTTTTTTACTTTGATTGTCCATTCGATCATGCCAAGTTATTTAGGCTTTCTGACAGCACTGCTGACATCAGAAAACAGCCTTAAGGGGTGAATAACATAAATTACTTAAAAATGGGCTAAAGATGGTGCTTCTCATTGACGATACCGAATAGGATGCCGGCGAAATGAATGACTATTTTGGAAGAGTATGCAGAGCAGGGTACTTTCTCAAAACACATTATGATGTTCCGACCAAGTTGCGAAAAATAGGTCAAACCAACTCTATGCATAAAAAGAAGTATGCGACAAAATCTAGGGCAATATCATATTGGTCTCCATATTTACAACCTAAGATGATAAATTCGATAAATTATTTTAAGAGCAGACACAATTTGCTATAATCAAATCAAGTGACCAAAATGCGTCTCTGAATTTGTCTATCGCGCACAACCAGTAGTCCGGAATAAGAAATGTATTCACCATGGGTCGTTGAATTTTACAACAACCAAATGAGTAGGCTCCATGATGCCAATGAATTCACTCAAGTCTTGCCTCCCAAACGGCATTTTCATCAAAGGTTGAGTGTAGTTTCAGTCTTTTTCGATGTCATCAGCACCCTCAAAAAGATTCAAAGCAATAAAGTGTGAAAGATATCAATTCCTCATTTATTCATAAAAATATATTGATGAAATCTACTTAACGCATACAACATAAACAACACCATTCTATGCAATCTGCACGCTTTATAAATATAGACCTCTAAAAAGCAAAATTATATAACCTGTATTTATTCACTTTATACCGGTTATAAGTACCGTAGCAGTCCGCCACACTTCTACAAGTACTGGTGGATTTAAGGGCATATGACATTTTCCCAAAAATCACAATTAATGATGGGATTATCGTTGTGGTAAGCATACAATTAACAATAGAATGGATTACTACTTATTTGTGGATTCATTAGGCTTCGATAGTATCAATAATTCTCGAATATGAACTTAGTTTATCAAGGTTGTTTAAAGTCCGTTATGGAAGGATAGTAAATGTTTTCCGCAAAGTTATGACTAGGCCTCATAAATCAGTGATAATTACGAAGCATACCCATACCAAAAGTGAGCCCTTTTAATGAGATCTCTTTAACAAACCGGCATCCGTGTGATATAAGGCTCACGACCCGATTCCAAATCCAGTTAGGGAGAATGGCAAGACCTAAAAGAGGTCGAAATTGTGGCCCATCCCTGATGAAAATTCTTTTGGGATATCAAGGTTCCGTGAACTTCGACAGCATCGTACAGCCTATTCATCTTGGAAAGTCAAACTAAAAGGCTCTTATCACCTAATTTGACCTAGGGTGAAAACAGTGTTTTTGTAATATTTTATATTGTTGGTATGAATTAAAGTAATTTAGTTTATTGTAAAGGCCTCATCAACACATCAATAATTGTGATATATGAGAGGCCTAATTTGCCTTGAAAATCCTGTCTGCCCTGTTACCTTCTGGCATCCGTGAAATTGTGGGACTGTAGATAAGAATGGACAAAGGAAAAGTGTGGCGTTGTGTCAACATGCCTGCAAGTAGGCTGCACTGCCAGGGTTCGATTCCCGTCAGGAGTGCTGATGAGACTTTTTCGAGGTTGAAACTGCAGTCTACACCGGCTGGGATGATAATACTTTTTGGGAGACACAGCTAACGAAAAATAAATTGTTTAGTTAGGCCCACTCATATCATTGTTAAACAGATCAACACCCACTCCTTCATCACCAAATGGTTAATATAGATAAATAGATCTTTTATTCAAGATCTACTGGTAGTATTGAAACCTACGTAATATTAACATCAAGTGATCCTTTTGACTCTTTGAAGATTATATCCTATCCATAATAAGGTATGGCTTCACTAAATGAATTAGAAAATGGAAGTCCGTTGGCCGGTAGCCTTAAAGCACAGGAATATGAACTTTGTGGTATACGTCCTGGAACGAAGATTATGTCTCAACTCTCCTGGGCCTCCTGATTTTTGTCGCAATTTTTTATTTGGCACGACTTGTATCATCAATTTTTTGATCCGTTTTACCAACGAAGTGTCAGGAATGCCCTAGACCAGCGAATTGATGCGATTGGGCTACATTCGTCTCTACCCCTTCGCTGTTTGGGAGGTTGGCTTATTTGGAAGTGGCAAAACCGCCTCTTAATTGTTATGTAACATGTCCCATGGCGTAGTAACTGAATGCGCTTTGATCAATGCAAATGATGGGTTGATAGCCCGTAGATCCACGGGGAATCGAAAAGGTGGCTCTGTTTTGCCCTGAAATTCCTTGCATCCTACATGTCAAAACAGTGGTTTTTATCCGGGCTGGACAACTGCATCAGCATCGACTTGTCGTCTCGTCAACGCGACTAGCGCTAGTCGAAGTATGTACTTGCGGGTTCCGAGGCAAACATGTGATTGTGCATAAACATTGTCGAAGAGGTGGAGTAGTTGGTAGAGGTAAAATGGTGCTTATTCAGAAGCGATAAAATGACTTTTTAAAAGGGTGCGTCAGTGAGTCGTTGTACTCCGTCATCATGGCGAGAGAGAGAGAGAGAGAGAAAGAGAGACAGACATAATGAAATTCTAGTCAAAAGAAATAAACTCAAATAATGTAAAATGTGAAAAGCATAAAAATGAAAATCACACGGTAGAAGAGAATTGGCTAGATGGGAGATAAGACAAAGATGTGGAAAAGATACATTATGAGTAAAGGAACATG